TGTTGGCTTCCTGGCATTTCAGTATTTCAGCCCTGCTGAGACCAAGGGTACTTTTGATGTCAGGCAATATCTGCCTCTAGATCAAAGGCTGTGCTACTGAATATCGCTTTAAAATAAAGTTTCTTAGTTCTTATACTTGTTAAGGGTAAAGTCAACACGTAAAAATAAAAGGAAAGCAAAAAGTCTGAAATACAGTTATTTTTTGTCAATTTTACTTTAGAAACTTTTTGGAATCAGCAGGCAGAAATTACTCCCAGGCAAAATGATTTCATAGAGTCCCAGTATCCAAAAACCTGTAACAGAAAAACATACCGTACCACCACCTCAGTGAGACTATTAGTGACAGTAAGCAACAGGGCCAAGATGCCAAAGACATTTCATATATTAAGTTACCAGAAGTCAAACTTCTCTGCAACAGCAGTAGATGTAGCAGCACAGTAAGACTGGAAGGGGGGATTATTTTAACATTGAATAATGAACAGGACTAGGGAACTGCTCTGGTTTTAGTAACTGCTACAGAAGAGGAAGGGATAAGTGATTTCAAATCTGATCTTTGTGAGTCAATGTGTTAAAACGATCGCACTACTCCAGCTGACAGAGAGTAGCAAGGTAGCATGAAGACACAAAAGCAGGAGCAGAGCACATAAATGCTCCATTGACGGGTACACTTGAACCTCCTGGAAAGGGCTTTAATCCTCACAGCCTCTGTGAAAGCAGTGAAGAGCTTCACTTTTTGATAGTTAACAAATACTGCAGGACCCCTAATAGCAGTCTCAGTCTTATTAGGTACAAATGGGTTTCAGTATGATCAGCTCTATAGATGAGATACGCTTGCTGATGTGTTCATTTATGCAAATTAGTTCAAAGATACAATTCAGTTTCTCTTGGAAGAAAATTGACAACCATCAGCTGCAACAAATCAAGTTGAAGGCAGAGTAAATTCTAAATAAAGTCTTGCTTTACTTGGACAGTAAAGATTCATAGCACGTACCCATACTATCACTGAGTTCATCGCAGGGAAATCATCTATTAAAATACAACACTCAGAAAAAGGAGTATCACTGTTAGGAACAGGAAGATTTCCATGGAAAGAGTCAAAGCTGAATCATCTGCTGAAACTGAAGAAAAATTACAGCATCTGGATACTTAGAAAGGTCCCTGAAGACAAATCAAACTACAATCTGTTGAAAATAAGAACAGTTGATCAGAAGCTTTAAAATACATCAACTTCACTTGACACTCAGTTACAAATACTCAGCCAAAACTGAGTAAAAGTGAGCAAAATGAGTTGGAAAGAGTATCCAGACTTACATATAATAAGCCCAAAATATTTTCCAGGAAACCAGGGAGACAAGCTGTAGCAAGTTTGCAATTGGCTAGCACTAGTGACCTGAAGCAGAAGGCTTGAGCCAAGAGTGTGGAAATCTAGAGAAGAAACTTCAGACACTAGCTACTGCAAAAGCCAACTGATGGCATCAGTCAGAACTTGGGCAAAACTGGACACTTGCAGCACCACAGAGTAGAAAAGTGCTGTCAGAGGACCAAGCAAAGATTTCATGAGAACTACCTGCTCAGTGGTCTCCCAACACCTATGCAAAGCTGTCTCTTCTAGCATCACTCTACATAACCTCTGGAAGTCATATCTTTGAGTGACAGCCTCCAGCACAGAAGTATGCCAGCTATGAAATCAGTGAGTGGAAGGGGGACTACTGAAATGAAGATCTCTCACCTACCTCACGTTAAGTATTACAGTAGGGGATGACAAGGTGCTATGGTTAAGTGCTGAAACAAGAATGGTGGTCACTACTAAAGCCCATACTTCGTTAAGTGATCTGTTAGTCAAGTGCAGGCATAGTTTTCCCTGATGAAATAAGCTTCCTTTTAATTTTGATTATAAGATTATACCAGAACAATTCTTCAATGTCAGCACAGTACCAAAGACCTAAACATGAACTCAGCAAATTAAGTACGAAACTATCAGGTGCCAACTTCACTGGTATATACACATTTTCCACAGACTGCTTACTGCTTTCTCCTGTAGCGAAGGAACCCAGCACCAATTTGTAAAATACTAATTAGTTCAAGTTAACATCTAGAATTTCAGTAACTGAAGGGGTGCCAAATTTACATTTGCTAATATTGGGTAATATAAAAAAGTTTTAACCCTTGCCTCATTTTACTGAATTTCTCCCCTGTGTGTAACAACCTCCCCACCCCACAGCTCACCACTTTTGTGGTCAGACACAGATTTACCAGGAAAAGAAGAAAAGACCTCTAAAGGTCACTGCATCCTTCTACCTCCTCCCACAGACCACCCCCAAAACACTACAGCTCTGGTTCATCCAGGGGGTCACCAAGACTGAGCCTGCATTGCTGCACTCGCTGGTTCCAGCCACCCGAGCAAACTGAGAAGGTGCTGCAAGCCCAGTGCAGCTGTGCTGCTGCCTTTCTTTTTCCTCCCCTAGAGGTAGTGTTGGGGGGAAAACCTCCAGGGAAAAGTGAAGATCTTGCTACTGGTGACTCAGAATATACACTCCAGGGCAGCACCGCTTTGTAATGCATTATTGAAAAGAGTGCCAGTTTAGGATATTATGCTGATCCAACCACGCTCAACCTAAAGCGAGCAGAAATAATGAAACTCAGCATCAAATAAAACATCCGTTCTGTTTTCAGCATTTACTAACACCTAAAAAATAAAAGCCATTTTCCTATCTGTAAGTCTGCCTAATTTTCTCTTTCAAGTCCTCCATCTATCATTGCTTATCTGCTTTGATATAAGTCACACTGCTTCATCAGAGCACCTCCAGATCACAGTTGTTCCAGTTCATTAGGTTTCCAATCGGAGGGAAAGAATTACACCCTGTTCATCTATGAAACAGTGCATAATTATTCAGTGCCTTACTGAGGGCTTCATTCACAGTTTAATTCCCTCATCAGCATTCCCTGAGCGCACTAAAGCCTTTTAGCACTTGTGTATGTGCATGTGCATGCACCAAAATTGAGAAACTGTATATCACCTTTTTAATTTAAACTCACTTTCTGTTCTTGGTTTCAGCTGATCTACTGAGTTTTCCTGTTCTCAAGTACTATTAAGTTGTGAATATTGTATAGGAATTAATTTAACACTGTAGTTCATCTACAAGTAAAAGTTTTTGCCACTTCTGCATTCCGTTCAACGTTAAGTTTCTAAGTGTACTTAGAGGGGAACAACAACAAAAATAAGAAAGATGCAGATAGACCAGAAAGGGTCTAAAGGAGTGCCACGAAGATGATCAAAGGGCTGGAGAACCTAGTCTATGAGGAAAAATTAAAGGAGTTAGGTCTTTTCTCCCTGGAGAAGAGAAGGCTTGGGGGGACCTCATCACAGCATTCCAGCAGCTGAAAGGCAGCTACAAAGAAGACAGAGGCTCTCTCTTCACAAGGAGCCGCATGGAGAGAACAACAGGCAACAAGTGCATGTTGCACTGGGAGACATCTCGATAGAAGACATTTTTCACAGTGAGAACAATCATTCACTCAAACAGCCTCTCCAGGGACACGGTATAGTCCCCATCACTGAAGGCTTTCAAGATGTGATTGGATAGGGTGCTAGACAATCTCATCCAGGCTCCCTTTCCCATGAAAGGTTGGACCACATGATCTTTCAAGGCCCCTTCCAACCTGGGCTGCTCTAGATTCAATGATTCTGAGCCTAAGAACACCTCATTTGCATTCCTGTAGCAGCATATCTCAGAAAACTCATCTCCTTTGTTTCCTGCCACCTGTATTGCAGTAGGACTATTTCAACTTTCAGCATCACCTGAAAATTAGTTTCCTAATATCAGCCTCTACAGAAGATACAATAGCTCTGATTAGTTTCCCATACCTTTATCACTCATAGTTTGATATAACTATTAGGAGAACCCATTACAAATACGATCTCTTCCTGCAGTGCTTACACCTGCTTTTTCCTGCCCACTCCTTAAGAAGTTTCCTATTTTACTGAAGTCTACTTGACAGTTTATATTATAAAGATTTCAATCTTGTCAAATTTCCTTTGATAGCTAGAAGTTACAGACATACAGATCTACTGTAAAAAGTTATTTTCTTTAAAAAGTTAAACTAGCTTAAACAAATCACATTGCCAGTATCTCAGTGAATTCCACTCTCCATCTCTCAGTTCAAAACTAAAATTCTCATCCCCCCACCAGCAAGGCCTGAAGCAATCACCATATTCCATTATGTATAACATGGTCACTAAATAGTTCAAACACCAACAGAGGAAACAGCAAGCAAAGCTCCTGCCACCACAAGATGAATTATTAGTTCACCGGTCAGTGCTCCGGCCCCTCACCAGAGACTGCAATAACCCTGGCCAGCCCCCACATGCAGGAAGGATGTTATCAAGATTTCAGTGATCTTCAAGAATAATGGACAGAAGTGAAACTTTCTGAACTTTAAGTCTGAAAATACTAACTGCCTCTGCCTTCAATTCTGTACATCAAGAAATAGACACTAAAGATCCAGGACTAGTAGAATTAAGCCGTTTTAATTTACCTTCCAACAGCAAGATTGCAGGCTTGGTGTACCCCCTTCCACATAAACTACAGAAATAATCATTCAAGTTTACAGCCTTGTTAACATATAGGGACACTTCATAACAAGTATAAATATTTCCTCCTCTCAACAAGGATCTCTTGTATCCTCTCCCTGTCATTTACACCCAAAAAATGGATTATAGATGAAAGCAGGCAAAGACTGGAAATATCAAGACCAGTTATGCATATTTGACATAAACAGCATGCTTCAATAATGACATGCAATACAGTTAAAAGCTCTCATATGGCATTTTTACTGTCCCTAGAAAACACAGATGCATTACCTATAACTTACAGATGGAAAATAAATCTCTTTTCTTAAACAGTCAGCCACTACTAGCAAGACTTGACATGCACTGCAAAACAGTTAAAAAGTTGTTCTAATAAGGTCATATATTCTACAGCAAGAACAGTATTACATACCTTGTGCAAGCATGTTAAACTCCAAGAACAGTGCTATGTGATAAAGCTCCATAGCTTCTTCAGCCCTAGTCATGTTTAGTTTTCCTGCTACAAGAGCCTGAACTTCACTTAAACTGCCCACTGAAGGGCTGGAGTGCAAAACTGAGAGGTCCACCACATCTGTATACATACAGTTCAAAATGACCTTAGCATATTTTTTTGGTATGATAGATTCATCCAATATAATTCTAGTTGGAGTTCGTAGAGTTCGGTCTGTGATTTCTTCACCAGTTCGTATCCTCCTCTGCAGCAAGTGACGAAAAAATGGAGATCGTGATGAAATAATAGCTTTGTGAGCTCTGAGCTCTTCATCTAGACAGTTCTGACTTCCACCAAAAGTTTCAACTAAGTCAGAGTTGGATGAAAAGCTAAGAACCACATCATAGTAGCACATGTAATCAAACAGTGCACGCATGTCAACATCTAAGGAATTCGGTGTTCCAAATTCTTCACTAAGCTGCACAAGGATGTCAACATTTTGGAATCTTGAATCCTCCATTCCAAACTCGCCCGTATAAAGGTAGTGTAACAAAGCAGAAAACATAGGCATATCTATGCCAGCTGTGTTAATATCCATTATTATTTCTGCCCCATACTCTGGTGAGGAAGAAAGCAGCGTCTTAAAAAATGGACATCTTGCAGCCAATATCGCACGATGCACAGGAAAACAAGTTTCTTGAAATATTAAGTCTACATCAGTACAGTATTTGTACTGATAAAGTTCAGCCATGTCTTTTTGTAGCGTCCTGGCTTCTGGTCTTGCCAAGTTAGCTTGAAGATAAAGTTCCTTTAAGGCTGATGTCCCCTCATATTCTTCTACTAATGCATTAACATCTCTGACATCCCAGCCTGAGAGGAGCTCACGCATCTGCTTGGCATGATCAGCAGATCGGCTAGATTTCCGACGCTTAATGAATTTCTTTTTGAGGGTGGCAAGGCCAGAGGTTTTCTTTTTCTTGTCTTGAGGTTTCTCATGACCATGGTCAAGGCTGTACAGCTTTGATTCACAGCCATAACCTTGATGAGAGTAGGATGATGTCCCTGAAGGCAAAAAGGAAAGTTGAACACATTTATTCTTTACATTTAAAAGGAAGGTCCATAACAGCTAAACAGTCCATCAATGTCTCTGCAATGTACAGTTTTTCCTTGTCCTCAGACCACATAATTCAACACGTTGGAAACCTGACTGAAGCCTCTTCTGGCCATTAAGAACAAAAATAAATTTTTTTGCATCTACAAAGTTTAGACTTTTTTTTTTTCCCAAAAAATGTACTCAATTTTAAGAGCCAAGAAGGGCCAGTTGACACAGCTCTGCAGACATGGCACACTTATCTAAGTGGGAAGAGAACACCGCGGTCATAACGTTACAAGTATCATTGTATTAACTATAGGAAATGAAAAATGCAGCCTTTTTAAAAACTTGTATGACATCAGTGAAATAGTGGCACCTCCTCTTTCAAGGTGTTTTTCAAATTCTGTTCTTCAGCATTAAGTGTCATTTCAACAAGAAAAGCATACCTGGCATCAGATAGTTATCACAGTCACAAGAAAAAAGGGAAAAAAGAGAACACAGTACTAAAACATTCAGGGAAACTGAGGACAATGAACTAATTTTCAACACAAATTTAACAAGAAAGTAAAAATCCTGTCATACTATAATCAAGTAATGCCAGAAGTGAAACAAAATTAGCTCCTTTCCACAGAACTATAGATGCTAATTTGTGCATACACCCCATTTAAAAGAATATGGACAATCTAAGTTTTACCGTATTATTAAAGATGTAATTTGAACAGGGCACTATAAAGCATGCATATAATTATTTTTCCCCTCAAAAATCATTTATAGGGAAGTTATGTTATGAACCAAGTATGTCATGAAATGAAAAATGGATTCCCCTCAACATTATCTGTGTTACATACCTGACCTGTTCTGCTAAATGAATCTTTGCTGATTGTCAGTTTGAGCCTACCTGCATATACAGTAACACTGATAGCAATTTAGTAAGAAAAACAGGAATCAGAATCTGCATTTCTAGAAGTAATGGAAAACTGAAGTAACATTTTAGTAAAAAAGTAGTTAAAAACTACAGTTTAAACAGAAGCATGACTCTCGCATTAAAGGATTATTTTCTAATTTAACTTTATTTACAGAATTCTCCCTTTAAGTCAGATGGTGAAAACCTCAGACGTGACAGGAAAAGAAAAACAATGTACATAAACCCAACTACTACTTCCAGACAAAAGAAGAAACCAGAAGAAAACATTTGCAAATGGTACACAGATTAGTAACAACCACAGGTCCATCTGAAATAGTATTTGTCTATTTTCTGTTGGGAATGGTTAACATTTCCATTGGTACACTTGTGTAGTTTCACCACTTGTTGCCTTTTTTGGGTCTTTAAGTTCAAAGTACATTCAACCACCAGAGTTTTTGGGGGCTTTTATAACTGTTCTATCATTGCGCTTTCAAATTGCTACCTCTGCTTCAGGTAGATTTGATATGAAAGCTATTTTGCGATGCTTTTTTGACAGCGATGTTATGGGCCAGTCTGTCAAAACAGAGTGTGTTTAGTTACCATGATACTTCAGATAGGTATTTCTTGAACTTTGAAAGACAAGGAGCAAATCAAAGTTGTATTTGAGAGCATGGCAACTTTAGCAATCTAAGATTTCTGTAATCTGTTTTATTATTTAAGCCTCAGTAATTCTAAGTAACCTTATATGCTGGCTTTTATGCCAAACTAATTAAAACTCCTCCAAATTATGCAACGCAATGGTTTTACGATTCATCCATTAGTGAAAGTTTTGGGAAGGAACTTTGCTTTCTTTGAGGAAAGACCTCTAATGATTTTATTCATGCTACATTCAATTTTGCTTGATCAGGCAAAATGTTATTAATCCTATTGAAATTTCAAGACATTAAAAAAAAATCAATTCAAAAGAAGAGAACAGCAGTAACTCAAGACAACTTCAACAAAGAGGTTGTGCTGCAAAATACATCATAAAAATTCTTTCCACATGTTATACTAGGTATTACAATAGAAAAGTACAGATTCAGTCTCCTGCTGATAGAGACAAGCCTAGAATTTCTGCTCCATTTAAAGAGTATCGATTACACTTCACAATAAAAGTATAACTACCCTTCGGTCACTCTATAATGATGGATTCTGCTCAAAGAGAACATGCCAGCTCATTTCTATTTGAAGTATTTCAGATTCTAATGGCAAATTTGAGTATGCAAAATATTCTCTTACATTTTGCTAAAGAAAAAGCAGGATATCACAAGTCTCAATTTCTTTCTTCCCTGAAGGCTGCTGTGAGGTATTACTTGCACGTGAATCACCACAAAAAAAACATTCAAACCTTTGTGTACTCTGAGGCATTTACAAGATTTAACTTCAGAAGTACTGCAAACAGTGCTATTAACCCTTACAAAAAGTTAAAATCCTGCTATAAAAGTGCCACCACACAACTGCTTTTTGCCAGAGGCAAAAGTAGAGATGCACCGGCATAGCCTCTCTGGGTTCACAACAGCTGGTGGCTCCACATCCCTCAAAGAATTTTGAAGAGCCCCTTTTTGACCTGCATGTATTCCTTCATAAAACAGCAGCATTAGAAATAGGAAACGGAAATTTATTTCCCATTTCTACACTAAAAGGCATCAATCTATTAAATGTTGTTAAAAAGCAATAGCTACTTCATGCCCCTACACCATATCTAGTTTTGAACAGATAAATATTTACAAGAAACAGATGACTGCCAAGAGAAACTATTCGGGCACTCGACAATGAATAATGGGATCTGTCTAGTCCTCTGCATGCCTACACATTTTAAAATCTAATTACAGAGCTCTATTTAAAAATAAACATCTCGAACAGATGTACCACCCTAGAAAATGGTGTGAAATCCTCCTCCTGAATGCTGTAGACAAAACAGCAAGGAGATGATTAGTTAAGCCTTTGCTAAAACAAAAGCATCTTTTACAGTAAGAGCACTGTATTATTTTCACTGATTTATCTCCTCTTCGTAAACTGTAAGCAAATTCAGCATTAAGTCAACTAACAATGGGAGCTCATCCTATGAAACTACTATGCTTTGCCAGATGAGTTCTTAGCTTTTAATATTCATCCTACACTTACAATATAACATGGTACAGTGCTTTAATGGTAAAGTAGTATGTCTAAAACAAACCCATAGGCCTGAATCCAGTTTCCACGAATAAGGCAACTAATATGTATTATGCAGCTACTATACCTATAGTCCCCATCTTGTCAGTTCTATTTTGGGGCAGTAAATAGACCTAATGACCTCTACATTAAAAGAAAAGAAAAAAAAATAAATCTGTAAGCGCTGATTTAACATTAAAACATTAATATTCTGACAAGTGATGAAAACCTCAGCTATCAACTTTAGGACATATCTATTTTCTACCGCAACAGCTACACAAACCAATCACCCAAACAAGAATCAACATGAGAAAGTGCCAAATTCCACAAAGTGGGAAGAAGCAATGTAGATCACACCTGTGATGTAGATAGCACACTTACTCTACTAGTACCCTCATGTAAGTGCCACCATAATACCAGAAGATTCAGCAAGAATTTTAACCAGAACACTTATTTACCTTGCCTAAGATGAGACAGCCACACGCCTTTAGACCTTCCTCCAAAAAGTCTCAAACACAATTTTCAATAGGTAATGGGGATACGTAAATTTATTGTGACATACTACATAATGGGTTTCTATTTTGAATTTAATATTGAAGAGCATCAGCAAAACCTTCCACATACCAAGCAGAAAGTTTCTGGGAAATTTAATGAAGCCTTTGGAACACTCCCCTCTTCAAAATTTGCTCAAAAGGTGTTTCAGCATGCAGATCTGCTTGTTTTCAGGTCTGTAAGGCTTTCTCTTCACTCAACATAGAGGCACATAAAAACCACCAAGACATGTAATAAAAATGTTCTGGCTGTGATTTTAGAAAGTATATATAAACTGGGGTAAACCTTTTCAGTGTATCATAACTAACAGCAGTAAAATACATAAAGCCTTAAGGGGGGCTTTAAATAATAATGTCTTGGATATCCATGCTGTAAAGTTCTCCCTTGACGTGCTATGACAGCACACAGAATTTTTAACCCAGAGCACAAGTCTTTACATGTAACAGTTTGCGGGCTGTTCTCTACTCAGATCTCCAGAAGTTAGGAGTGTCACAAAAGCAGAGACAAAAGAGAAAAATTACAATGCAAGTCAATTTTTCCTCTTCTAAGGACATCACTGTGCTTTCAGTGGTGATTAAGAAAAAAAGTAACACTGAATATCAATAATGACTGATTCAATGTTCCAAGCCAAGGAATAAAGGAGAAAAGTGTTTATAAAGTATTTATGTTATTTACTGCTAAGATCATTCTTCAGGCTGCCAGGGTTGGTTTTTTTTTAAGCAAGATTTATCTTCTCAAAAACTGCCTTATTTTAAATTCATCACATAACTATTTATTATTTAGAATGTGACAGTACTTAGATCTACACTGAGCTCTTTTTGCACTAGACTGAAAAGCACATAAAGGCAATACCTACTTCAGTTTTGCGTAGCATAAGAAAATAATTTCTTAAGAGCACTTCAACTCAGTTTCCAGTTAAGCAAGGTCCTTGCTTGTAAATAATACTGTTAGGACAAGAAGTACCTCCATTCCCCATTTACCGGAACAGGAAAAGGACAGGAGAAAAAACTGTCTTCAAGATTGCTTGTTACTTTAACAGGTTTATTATCACAGATATCCCTTCTAGCAATAAGGAAGTAATTCACTCATATTAGACACAATGCCAATACTACAATGAATACTGATGATCTATGAGTTTTATATGTCCTAACACAGTTTCACAGAAAAAATCTGAGGAAGAAGAGTAGAAAATGATAGACAGTATTAAACAGCAACTGCTCTTCAACTGGGAAAACAAGCATTTACGGTTTAATTATCAAAAAACCCCAACTTTATTTTATTAAAACAACCCAGCATCTGTTTACTAGCAAATCGCAGATCAACTCATTGCATACGCAGGCCAAACAGATACTGGACAGTACCAAATTTCATGCACGATTGAGCTTGAATGGATTCAAACTGGTGACCTAGAAAATAAAAGCTCTGCATAACATTACTGCAAGCAAATCAAATCCACTGCATACACAACCCAGCAAGTCATTTATGTAAGTGACAAGATAACTGAAAAGAGTTACCTATGAATGTCTGTTGTGCCTGTGAATTTCCCCCTACCCTTGGGGAACATGAGTGAGGGTAGTTAGATGCATTAGCACCCATCTTCTTCAGTCACTCAGGCATTCCGCCCGCTGGCTCTTCAATGCATAATCCCATAATCCTTTATAAATCTTCAATCCCAGGTCCAGCATTCTGTTCCTCCATTTCTGAAGAACAAAAACACCAATAAGTTACTTGTTTATTTTTTTTCAGTAGGTATTATGTGATTTAGATAAACTCAGCCTTCAGCACATAATATTTTCATAAATTAAAACCTCAAACACTTCCAAGATAGCTTTTTATTTGAAGGATTAAACCAAGATCAAAAATACATTTTTTCCCGAAAATAATTTGTGATTCTCTAAACCATTCACAAATCAGTATGATAAACTGCAACAAGGAACAGGATGGCTATCAAACTTTTAGCTAAGAAATCTTCAAGTAGGAGTTGGTCTAGACTAGATATGCTCCTTTAACTGCACTAAGAAAGACTTTTCATATGTGCCGGTATGTTTACACATTGTTATAAAAAAATCCCAAATCGAATTATACTGACTGAGAAAGCAGAATAAACCAATCCTGTTGGAGGTTATACCATCATCACTGTTTTCAGTCATATTTCGATTTCAAACCGTTTATGTAGTTCTCATTCAGTCCTACTTTTCAAGTTTAGACTAGTGCCTAGAAATAGGTTTATAATAGTAAAAATAAGGTGTTTAAGTATTCATCTACTGTTTTATTAGGCGTTTGAAAATGTTTTAGGAAGTCAATTCTGAGGAAATCTGAACAAGGTGTCATTGCTAAACACACAATAAGCACATTCTACTTTATTCCTATATTAGCAGTGGTAAAATATTAATACCGTAAAATGAAGGTTACCACAATGAATAACTGCCTTCTGTCAACTAAACACATGCGCCCCATCCAAAACACAAATGTGTAGATAAGTAATATAAAGGTAAAGTCTATACCAAGAATTTTTAGATGCCATTCAATATTGTGAACATGTAGTTAAACTCTACCATGTTGTCACAGGTGTACCTGTATCTGCTATATGTTTCCAAGCTTATCTCCTTTCTCAGTACACCTCTGGCATGTTAAATTGGACAAGTAAATATCATGCAAGAGCGCGTGTTTCAAGGAAGCTGCAGCACTGTTCCAGTCTCTCTTCCCATCTTTAATAATCTGTTTATTTCTGGCATAAGAAGTTCAGAAGAGGGAGTTACTGTGACGCTGGGGAGGTGAGTGGAGCCCTAAGTGGAGAGGGAGAAGGCTGCAAATCGCTGTAGGCACAGCAGTGGTGGGGGGAGTAAGTGCCCCAGGATTCAAGGGCTGGCCACATGAGGAGGAAGAGTAGAGAAGGGCCTGGAAATCTGTCTTACAGACATGACTATGTGAAAATGTGAGAGACAGGCATGGGACTGAACCGTTGTGGAAGCATGAGAGAGTGCACTGTTTCCAACCATCTGATGCCTTAGAACAAGGTTCCTAAAATCAGGCCTTTTGGCATTCGTGGTCTATGACATCAGATGTTTTCAAAGAACCACCACACCACCTCAAACTAGACATGACATACAGGCAGAATCGCTGCTCTAAGAGAGCACATAGCCCCGATCTGTCTCACACAGCCTGCTGATTGTTACCTGAATTCTGATAATGCAGGAGACCACCATAAAAACACTGCAGCTTTCCTGGTATTATACAGGCCAACTTGAACCACTCTACCAGCCTGCAAATGCAGAAAGGGGGAGCTCCCATGCCTGCCCTCCCTAGCTAGGTGGCAATGTCTCCTCAATTGCATATAACTTCATGCTATTCTTGAAATTGTTTCTACGCAGATTCGGCTTGCTACACATCAGGAAGCAGAAAAATAAAATACCTTCCTACACGAATAGTGAGCCTGCTCAGGATGAAGTTAGAACTAGAGCACATGCAAAATGGACAACATCACATCAGCAAAACACCAGTAAACCTTCTCAGCAAACACAAGCTGTTGGATCAGTTCAGTCTTAGCTAATAAAAGTACTCATCTTCTTCCTCGTGCAGAAATAAGCTAGCTATTCTAGGATAATGAAATCTATATGGATGCAGACCTCTTCTCAATACATGAAAAGCTCCACAATTTTTTTTTAAAAAAAAAAAACACTTAGAAAATAATTTCATTAAAACCATGACACTCCAAGTGATTTGTGTACCCACTCAAAATGCCTTGCTTAAATGTGCCATCCATTTCCAGATGGAATTAGTTACATTCAGTACAAGCTGTGTGGATGTGTGGATGTAAGAGTCACCTTTCAGTTTGAATGCCAACTCTCTCACAAATAAAGGCCAGCATCCTGAGTAGATAGCCTAACAACTTCCCTTTTCTCAGCTAAAATCGGAGTTGGTTGACTTGAACAGAGTCCTGAAATAATGCCATTGGCCATTGCTATTCCACTTTGCCCTTCTGTGTTCAGCTGTGGTGTGAAAACTTCTCTATTAGATGTCTACCTACACCTACCAGCTCTTCCCGACATGGGTAAGAGCCCAGGAGCTAAGAGGTGGTGGGGGGAGGGGGGGGCAGGGGGGCAGCAGAAATATTTTGTTTGGTTTTTTTGCTAGCAAGCACTAAATATACATAATCAAGTCTCAGGTTTGAAGTTAATACCTTCTACCTCCTTCCACCTGGCAACAAGCATGCCCCAGAAGATGGAAGGAATGTGATCAAGGAATACATGCAACTGTTCAATACCATTAGCATTCAATGCTTGAATTTGTAGAACAGGATTTAAATTAACTGAAAAAAGTAAACACTATAAAAAGTTCCTAAAATAGCCAATAAATAAAATAATTTTATTAAGAGGCTTACCACAAGAACACTGTTACACATTAAGCCTCAGTGCAGAATGAATTCACTCAAATTTAAAATATGCAACTTAAGTAACATAGGACAGTGTAAAACCAGTGTCATATTAAAGCTGTATACATAAATGTATGTATTTATATAAACTATGTATGTATATTATGTAAATTTATATATTTTTATAAGTAAAACCAAACATGCCAGGTTTCAGTAAAGGAGGAACTCAATGCAGAGTAGGCACTGTGGTCTGCCATTTACAGATGCCAAAGCCTCCTGCGTCTCCTTTCAAATGTAACCATGCACTGCCTGGTCATGTGTATGCTGGCTGACTTCTTGAAAGTATTTTGCATCTTGAACTCAAACACATTATAGTTCATAACAAAGCATATAGTGCCTCATGGCTCAAAACCGATCAGAGCTTTAGTCCCACTATTGTCCTTAACCTCATGTATCAACTGAAAGTACAATCTTTGTATTTTTTATTACATCACTAAATTTTACAAAATAACATTATATAACCCATGCTGCATTTCCCAAACAATTTAAGCTAGCAGCAGTGATGAACTCTGTCCTGGAGGAACCCCTGCCTTCCTCTATTCATTCTCATAACCACTTTCATGTTTGTTCTGGCCCAAATATCCTGTGAACCAGATAAATTGACCCACATTAAAACCAACCTAGACAAAAAGTTTAAACAGTATCAGTTACCCAATTAGTTTGTTACGGCATCACACAACACTTGCACCAGCACAGGTGGAAAAAGAAAGAGGAACATGGAAACAAGCTACTAGAGCCAGGACTGCATCTTCTGACAGCAAGGAATACTTGAACCACTCATGGATTTAGGTGCTTTTGTTTGTTTGTTTTGTTTTCCTAGCGTCCACTTCAGCCTCTACACTAAACCTAGCCCACCTGCACAGAAGTCAGTCTTGTATGTAACCTGCTGAATCTAGTACAAATGTAAATGCATCTCAGTTACCACAAAGTGTCAAATCAAGAATGCTGCTTCCCATGGTGAAAGACAGCTGTAGAAGGAAATGAACATAAAAATGAAGAAACAACTCCAAACCACAAGGAATTAGATCTTTAGCTGCAAAAGGACCTTCCTTGCAGAAGTTATCCTGCATACCAAAACCTTCCCTGTTTTGTCTTAGCTGAAAAAAATTTTTAATCTAATTTTAGCCTCAGAACACAGTAATGGAATCTTTTTTGTTCGTTTTAAAAACTACCATCAAGTAAACTTTTTCTTGTCTTTCTGTTAAGAGTGCATACGCATCCACGTAAGTATTATCAAAAGGAAACTAAATTCAACATCTGCTGACCTACTGAAACAGGATCTCTTATTGAGAGCAGTGACGCACACACAGATGTGCATTATGCATGTATACATGTACACAGAAAAAAAAAGTTAAACTATGTCAAAGCTTGCACTGCAGAAATAGTATATAAACTGTGTTACATGAAACCAGGAAGCTTTAGAAGCCAAAACTACCATCCCAAATGCTACAAAAAGCACACAAGTCACTTTCAGATTATACTGACACTCAGAGCAGAATAAAATTTAAAATAAACACAAATCTAGTTAAAAGTTCCAGTACCTGAAATAAGTTTCTCAGTCTTCTCAATACTTGTCACACTGAATCTAAATTCCTAAGAACCTAAGACAACTTGCATCAGAGATGTTTGGGCTGACAGCCAGGAATTCCTGGATTGGGAATTTTGATTTATCAAAAAGTCTGCGTACAGAATGGACTTTGGGTAACAGTGACACTTTGTTTATAGTCCTCACTCAATACCAAGGTTTCATAAAATTTTCTGTAGTCCACTACAATCCAATTAATACAAAGGGCAAGGTGGGGAATGTTACAACATATTTTACAACCAAAAACATGTGACTTTTTCCCCTCTAAAATTTTAACAACTTTTTGTATTTGTTCTGAAGTTGTTGCCATAGGATTATTAAATAGCGTAATACAAAGACCAAAGTAGGAAATCATACCAGGTACATGCACATACTTGTACCAACATGATTTTTTAGGTTTTACATTTTACTTAACACATTTTAAACTTGCTACAAGTAAATGACAAGTATCACAGGCACACCTTATTCATATTTGCTTAGATTGTTATCTAGACCAAAAATCCTACTCTTTTTTTCCCCAACAGTTTCTTTCAAGTAACAAGGAAGTGGAACTGTAATGCAAGATGAGATGACAACATC